CCTCTTCAGAGTACTGGGTTCATTTTTAACCATGCCTGGTTTCTGGAGTTCTGGGATCACATCCAGGGTTTTGTGCAAGTACAGTACCGAGTAGGCTAAACCCTCACTCTGAATTGTCATATTCAGTACGACATTGGAACTGCAGTTTGTGGAGTTTAAGTATGGCTTTAATATCTGCTCTTTGTTTACCCTGTTCTTCTAGTATCTTTGCATATGTATATAAGAGCTGTTAAAATCAATTATAAATTTTCTCCTAACATTGGGATGTCTATCAAATATATTTTAATTGGAGATGGAATTTTATTTTCTATAGAATTCAGTTTCTATATCACTCAGTTTGATGACTGAGTGATAAAAAAATAAGATCTTGTGTTTTTAATTAGCTTTTTAGATAAATATGCTGGTATATTTTGTCATATCATTTAAATGTATTTACAATGACTTCTTAATTCAACTTGGTTGGTTTAGTCATTGAAAAACTGTAGTTTATAGTATTCTGCATGTTCATGTGCTTAATTTGTGAAGCATTTCTGTTAAATGATATTTTTAGAAATTATGCAAATTTGACAGCCATGTCTTTGTACACGCTCCCAACTTTGGCTTACAGTAGAAGCAGGCTTATGTCAGGCTTTTGTGGCTTACATTATAGTACTAATGGGATTTGGAACTTAGTGAGAAGCAGGGAGAAGAATTCATGTGATTCTGCCCCTTTTCCCCTTTTAATAGGTAGGTATATATTGTGTTTCTATTACTACAAGTTATCTGGAATGTAGTAGCTTAAAAAGCATATTATTATTGTCTGCGTTAGGAATCTAGGAGTAACTTAAGTAATTCACACTTTCAGACTTCATGGTCATTTCTAAGGATTTAACTGAGAAAGGCTTAGTCCCGAAACTCACTCACTTTGATAAAAGTCAGCTTTCTTTCTTTAAAAGACCTTATTTTATGTGTATGAGGATTTTAATTGCCTGCATGCCACATGCGTACCTGGTACCTGTTGAGATAATAGTAGAGTGTCAGTCCCCTGGAAGGGGAAACACAGATGCTTGTGAGAATCTGTATGGGTGCTGAGAACCAAACCCAAAGAGTAGCCCTCCAAGAAGTTCTTTGTCTAGCACCCTTTTCCTCTTTTTGTTAGGTTGTGGGCCAAAGGGGCTTGGTTCTCCCTAACATCTGAGGGGGCAACTGAATGAGTGCCAGCAAAGTAGAAATCACTGTCTTTTGTAGCTTAGTCATGGCCTCACTGGTTTTGCTGTCTTTGTGTTGTGTGTTATATAAGAGTTGTGATGTCCAGCTCACTTAGAAGAGGACTCCAATACCAGAAGTATGCAAAGGCATTTGTATCAGGAGAAAGGAATCATAGAACCATGTCAGAAGCTGCCTAGCATGGTTCTACAAATCACAGATGAAAATGAGTTTCTTTAAAGATAAGTTTTTTTTAATGTGTCTTCAGAGTATTTTGTGGAAATTCCTGGCACAGATCATGTTTTTTGTTTGATTTTTAGTACTTGATAGGAATGCTGCCTTTTTGCTTTTTGTCTCAGTTTGCTAAGTAGAATTTTAGCCTCTCCCCCCCCCCTCCTTGCCCCCACCCCAGACAGGGTTTCTCTGTGTAGTCCTGACTGTCCTGGAACTCACTCTGTAGACCAGGCTGGCCGCAAACTCACAAAGATCTGCCTAACTTTGCCTCCCAAGTGCTGCGATTAAAGGCATGCACTGCCCCCTTTTACATTTAGGAATAATCATGACATACTGAAAAGGCTGAATGTTCTCTCTGTGTCTGTCTATCTCTCTTCAATCCCTCATCCCCACTGAGGTCTAACAGCAGTCTGTATTGTCATTGTGTTTTACTCTCTGGACGAAAATGCCTTTGTAAAAATTTAAAAGTTGATTTTACTTTTCAAATGTATTACTGAATCTCTTAAGTATAGAAGTGCAGGTTATAATCCAGTGTTCTCAGAGTGTGGTCCCAGGTTAATGACTTTATCTCCTTAGGATTTCTTGGGAATGCAGATATGTTTTTATATTACATAAGGCATTTTGAATGGAGAAACTCTAGAATGTCCCAGCAGTCTGTGCTGAGTGATTCTGTTGCAGGAAAGTGCATGAATGTGAATAGATAATTGCTTTGCTGAAGCTTTTAATATATTACCATTAGGGAAGGCTTTCCTTTTTCATTTTGTAGATAAATAATATAAGGTAGATAAATAATATAAGGCCAGAGGTGGTGGCACAAATCTTTAATCTCAGCCCTTGGGAGGCAGATGCAGGTAAATATCCATGAGTTCAATGCCAGATTGTTTATGTAGAGAGTTTCTGACCAGCCAGGGCTACATAGTGAGACTTTGTCTCAAAGCAAAATAAAACAAAACATGTATCTGTGTACACACACACACACACACACACACACACACACACACACACACACACACACACACACGTACATGCATGCATGCATGCAAATAAGTATATACATACATATAGAACAGTAACAAAGTACTTAATGTGTATGTTTAGTCTATTGGAGTTGTTCAGGGAAGAAAAATGGGATTTTTGGAATGAGTTTTCCATCCCTTACATTATTTTATTTTGTTTCTTTAATAAATATTGAATACTGGAGATTTTTTTTTTTAAGTGAAAATGTGGTTTTCCATTTTATCACTTATTAAACTAACTTATTTTTGAAAATGTTTCTGGGAGTTGTCAAGGAATTGGTTGTGTGTTTCATCAGTTTTATAGAATGTTCGTGACCAAGTGTTTATACTGAAGTATACTGAAATTAAAGTCTCACTGGAAGAGCCCTTTCTATCATACAAGCTTTCTGTTGTGTAGTCACCAATTGGAAAGACAACTATATTTAACATGTTTTTTATTTTTACTCTGTTCTTAGTTCCAGTTGATTTTTAAAAATCTTTTCTGTAACACTACTATAGTAAGAATAAAATTAAAGGCAGGTAATAATTGTTTTAATTAGGGTTTTAATGCTGTTATAAAAATACTATGACCAAAAGCATCAGAGGCAGTCAGGACAGGAACTCAAGGCAGAAACAAGGAGTCAGAAACAGAAGCAGAAGTCTTGCTGCTTACTGGCTTCTTCTTACTGGTTTGCGTCCTTATACAACCCAGGATCCTGCTCAGGGTTGGGCTCACCATGATAAACTGGGTCCTCACGCATCAATCATTGTTTAAGGAAATGTTAGACACACTTGCCTATCCAGTTGTCTTATGGAGGTGTTTTCTCAGTTGAGAGCGCCTCTGACCAAAAGACACTAGCTTGTATCAGTTTGACATAAAACTGACCAACAAAGTAATTTTAACTGCTTTTGGAGGAATTAACTTGGCCATATGCCTTCTGCATTTGTTTTCATAGTTTAAAGGACTAAACTTAGTTTGAGGACTAAGTTCTGAAGGCCCCAGCTAGTAATTGTGTCTTTTTTTTTTTTTTTTTTGCACAAATTCTCATTTTAGTAAGTCTAGCTAAAGTAGTGCTTGCTACTCATAAACACACTTAGATAACGTTACTAGGATGAAAGTAGCACAGAGTAGGCACTGATCTAACAGTAGTCTTACACATGCAAATTTTCATTATTAAATGAATTAAAATCAGATAATGAAGTTCAGTAGTGTTTTAAATATTTGTACTGTTCTAAAGAATATTAAGTAGTAGTATATATGAAAAACATTACTATTCCTGCCTTCCTTCCCCCATATAGCTTTGCTTTTGGAATTCTTAGCTAGAGCTATCTGCTATGTCCTTAGTCTTCAGTGATGTGAAAGGCTTCAAACTTCAGTGATATGAAAGGCTTCAAGCTAAAAACCTTGGGAATGGGATTGCCTGTGGATCCGCTTGATAGGCTGGGAGTGCCATGGTTGCCTTACATATTTTTTCACTCTTAGTGGTTTTATAACCTTTTATTTCATGGGGTTAGATCGGGTACTTGAGTCAGTGTTTTAAGGCCATATGCTGCCTTAAGCTCTTATTCATGACAGCCTTCTTCCAGTAAAACATGTCCGTCAGAACATCTTACAGTCAACTAGCAGCAGCTTTCCGTGGTCACGAAAACATCTGAAAGTGCTTCTGCTCACTTGCATGCAGTTAGTAAGTGAATTTGCTCCCCTCCTTTGAGCTAATTTTGACACAGTTTTAAAGAAGATTTAATAAACTTTGAACGATTGAATTTATTTGTAATATAAAACTTTTAATAAAAAAGTTGTTTTAATTTTTTTCCTGTTTTCTTACTCTGAGACCATTATTTTTTCAGCTAAAAGTACTTCCAGTTTGTATGTCATACACTGGCTTTCATGTGTTTCTTGAATTTAAAATTAGGATTTAATTTTAGTTGCTTAGTACTCAACAGGGACATTTCGCCAGTGTAAACTTAGAATGTTCATGCATAGTTTATTTCTTAAAGGCTGTGATGCTTACAAAGAATCGAGAGACAATCTCATGTTAGTTTGCCAACACCTGTAGAAGGCAATTATCTGTTTATGTTAATATGATGTGTGGGTGTGTATGTGTTCATATGTAAGTTTCTTATGCCTGCTTTTCCACTTCTACAAATCAAAGAGTATTGACTATTGACTCCCAGCAACAGCAGTAAACAAAGTCTTCAACACTTGAGTAGCACACACTGGCTTTCCCTACTTGCAGTACTTACATTAAAGTGTTAAGCTAACACCATCAGTTTCTGATGACCCAACATAGTGAGTTCTTGAACATTATGGAGTTCGATATTTTTAAGTGATGTGCCTTTTAACTTTATTTGTGACTCCAGCCAGTGGGGCAATCTTGCTGTGAAGTTGCTAGACTGGTTCTCATCAGGGAAGTTGGATGCTGTACTTGAATTGTTGGTCTGCAAGAATACAGAGCGCTTCTCTTGAGTACTGTGCCAGGATGCTGAGACAGGGGTTTTATTTCAAAGTTTGTTTTGGTGATGGCATAAAACATACCAGGTTCTGAAATCCAGTTACTATATTAAATTTCATCACTTGTTTTTTAGGTATTCCAATAACTGTACCACCTCCAGGTAAAACTTTTTTCATGTTTTCTCCATCATTGTTAATGAACATGAAATTTCAAGCTTATAGTTGCAGGAGGGACGGTGTTGATACAGTTAGAATGTGCACTAGGCCACTGGGATTTCAAGGTCCTATTTTCAGCTCTGCCTTTGCTTCATTCCAGTTTTAAGCCCGTCTTACCCATTTCTATAGAAACAGATGTTCTCACCTTATCAATTAATGAGGAAAACAATAGAAGATACAGGATTAAATCACTGTTTGAAAGCTTTTTAGACCAAGGATTGTGTGTGTGTGTGTGTGTGTGTGTGTGTGTGTGTGTGTGTGTGTGTGTGTGTGTAAGTGACTCAAAGAGAAAAGAAAAATAATATATCTCAATTTTATCATAGCTTCTGATTGTTTACCCATTGTCATAATTCATTGTCATGAGGAAATATGTTCTGAAATACACAGCAATTGTGTGCTTAATAACTAGTCAAGTATTTGTTCTTAGAATGGTAACTAAGTAGACATTGTGATTGTGTTGTAGGAGTGGTTATGTAGCCCTGTGTTGATTTTTACATTTTTGTCAGTGATGTAATGATGTGTAATGATGAACCAATAGAAAGTATATTTACTGAGTTCAGTTTAAAAAACAAGGAGTATGAAGATGACTGTGACGATGCTGGGAAGAGTGGGTCTCAATTCCAGGTGATCTGGATGAGCAGAAAGAAGTTTAGATTGCAAAGGTCAGTGTACATACTTAGCTAGGAGTGCAGTCACTGACTGTATGGGTGTGGCTGAGGAAAGGCTGGCCAGGGGAAGTCTAAGGGATTGTTGTTTCTTTTTAGTCTAAATGATAGTATGGCTGTGAAACTGTTGTGTAGGAGGTGGACTACTGTGGTAACTGATAAACCCAGGCCTGCTTTGATATAGTAGAAGAGTTACAGATGCTAAAACTGGACAGAATGACTAGCAAAGTAAGCTTGAAATAGTTTCAGGCAAGAAACAAAACTTTGAGAAAGAATGAGAGAACTGGGGTTCATGTCCCCAGAGAATACTGGAGAGGAGCCTTAATGGGAAGGTGCCAGTTAGTAGAAGACGGTGGAGGTTCGGCAAGACGTGAGCCAGAGAACACATGATCGAAACTGTTGAATGTGATGCATTTCCTAGTAGTGGAGGTTGCTAAAACCTTCGGGAAATAGGTATCAGAAGTTGTGGGACTTTGAAGTCTTTGACTGTGGCAGTTACATCTGGGCTTTGGAAGTATAGAGGAGACTACTGTTGAGCTCCTTTAGCCATGCTGTCTGTCCTGTGGGTTTCATTTAGCTATGCAAATAACTGACAGTGTTAACTTCACAAGACAAAGGTGCAAATCATTTGCCTCCATTGTGTGCCTTGCTTTGTAAAGTAGCTCATTGGGGTTGTTTAAGTAACATTTTATGGCAGATGTTCTTGCTATGAATACATTTTTACTGGTTAGATTTAACTTATAAATTTATACACTTCAAAGAAATTTCTATAAATCTGAAACTCAAACTATTTTTAAATGACATAAATGTTATTTTATTTGTGTTTCTTCAAAACATAATCTGATGGCAAAACTATTACTTTTTTATTTTTTTTTAATGTGGAAAAGGTAAGGCATTGAGACTAACTTCCTTATATGCACAAAATGGGCTGTGTGTGGTGCTGAAAATAAGACCAGGTGTCCTGACAATTTGTGCTCTGTGTGTTAGATCAGATTGCTAATTAACAACGTTATTGCTCTAAAAAACTGTTTATAAGTTTCAGCTCTATTTTTTCCTGTTCGTAATGACGTAGAGAAGCACGTTTGTGTCCCCAGAAAATATTAGTGATACTCAGCACCTGTTTCACTCTTGACATTACATATGCCTCCTGTTAATGATCGTATCTTGTGGTTGACTGTTTCAGGGTTCCCTCCTCCACCAGGCGCTCCGCCTCCATCTCTTATACCAACAATAGAAAGGTAAAGCAGTGCCAATCCTCTTCAGTTGTTCGTCATTGACAGCCTTGCAACAGAACCTTTGTAATATTCTCTAATGTTTACACATAGCACCTGCCTGTTAATTCATAAGTTACTCTCTATTAAGTGCTTTCATGTAATATAGACTAATATCAAAATTGGGCAAAGGAGATAAAAATAGTTTGTTAGAAATCAATAATTTGTATATGTTGGAAAGGTATTATAACCAAGTTAGAGACATTAAAACCAATTTTTCTAAATTTTAAACCTCATTCTGTTACCTCAATTTCCCTGAATCTTATTTAGAAAGCTGAAATTGGTTATATGTCATATTGAGTAATACCAGCAAATAACTAGGTCTTAGTGTTTTTGAGGTGAAAAAGTCCATGTTATCACATTAAAAAATAGCAAGACCTTGTAACAGATTGCTTTGCTGTCTTCTCATTTGTACTGGACTATTACGATTGAGTAATTATTTGCATCAGACATAAAGATACTTCTTTCCGCCACAGTGGCCATTCTTCTGGTTACGACAGCCGTTCTGCACGAGCATTTCCATACGGCAATGGTAAGTTACTTGCCACCCAGATCCACTGTGAATCGGTAAAGTATGTATGGTAAAGAAATAGAAACATGTTTTCATGGGTTAAAATAACACCTTTACAAAGTAAGCAAAAAAAAAAAAAAAAAAAAAAATCAATTGATAGAGTGAAGTCTTTATATATATACCAGATTACTTTAGAGAATATACTTTCTTTTTCAATTGCAGCACAGCAGGTATGGGAAGTTCAGCTTTTCCTGAAATTTTTCCTGAAATGATTTAGGACTTGTCTCAGTCTCATTGTCCATGAGTCATGGCATCCAGCTAACCTTATTTTTTCCTTTCACTGGCTTAGTTTTTGTTAAGTCATGTTGTATGCCCTCCCCCCCCAGCACACACACACACTTTTTATTTGTAGCAATTTTATCCACACCAAGGGCTTCTGACACCTTCCCTTTTTTTATTTATTTTTAAGAGTGATCCATCATACTTACTTAAGGATGTGGTGAGTTGTAGTGGTTACCCTTACCAAATTTATTGGTCACTAAGGAGATAGGCAGGTGACCAGACAGAAAAGAACTTGTTTGGAGCCAGGCGTTGATGGTGCATGCCTTTAATCCCAACACTCGGGAGTCAGAGGCAGGTGAATCTCTGTGAGTTTGAGACAAGCCTGCTCTACAGAGCTAGTTCCAGGACAGGTTCCAAAGCAATACCGAGAAACCCTATCTCAGAAAAAAAGGAACTTGTCTTGAGAATTGAGTGAAAAGAGTCTCCTAACTCAAAGGGTGGAACATTTGGCGATAGCTTGCTTCATGGGGTAAGAGGAAATGGTAAGCCTATGAACTGCAAGTGATGAGTGGCTGGACCCCAGAGAGCTCCTGTTCATATTCAGTAGTATAAGCTTACTTTGGAGGTAGAGAAGGTTGGTTTCCAGACCAGCACAGTAAAGCAAACATGATAAAACACATTCTGTAGAGCCCTTTATTTCCCAGTGCATAGAAAAAATAATGTTTATTTATATTAAGCTCTGTAAATGTGCAGTATCATGCTTCAAGAAGCATATAGCCCTTAATTTAAAAAAAAAGTTGTTAAAAAATACTAGTATCATTTGAACCCTTCGTGAGATGAGTTATATAATCTTTTTGACTCAGTCACTGTGGTGGCTACTACTAACAATTAGAGTTGCTATGGCAATATCTTAACATTGCAGTGAAGTTTACTCTATATTGCATCTTCTCTGAAAGATTTCCCTGTAGCAATGTGATTCTGTTTGATGGTATCTTCTCCCAGAGTAGGAGCACTGGGATGGAGTCAGCCCTCTTGTACAGTGCCACTGCTTGAGAAACTAAGGTTATGTCCTGTTCACTCAGTTGACACTTGTGTAGTGTTCACTAGAACACATGTCAAGCTCCACTTCATTTCTTCCACAGTCCTCTCTGCAGGTACTTGCTCCATCTGCTGAAGTTCTAACTCCTTCCAAGTCTCTCTTGCTAGTTCATGTTGATGTCAGTATCTTTACCTCCTCCTCTAAATCCTGAATATTCTTAATGACATCTAGAACTAGAAGATTTCACTTTATGTTTTCCGGTTATATCAGAGGAATCAATTAAGACTTAGGAAATTAAGACTTAAAATACAGTTACTCTTGAGCACAGGTTGTGGAATGAGTTTTGTGTTTGCAGAAATGAAAACAATATAAATTGAAGCCCACATTTCCATCAGTGTTCTTGAGTGACTGGATGCATTGTCAGGGATGAGTATTTTGAAAAAGTCTTTTTTTCTGAGTAGTAGATCTTGGTGGTGGGCTTTTGATAATCAGTGAGCCAAGTTGTGGACAGTTTGCTGCCACCCAGGCCTCATCGCATTTACAGAGCACTGGAAGAGGCCTAGACCTTTGTGAATGGCATTGACTTAAAGTCACTAGCTACTGTAACCTTGCAGCCAGACTCTGATTGTCTTTAGCTGTAAAAGCTCTAAATGGTATGTATGTTCTTCTAGAGAAAAGTGCTCTTACTGAAAAATCTTTGGTTAGTGCATCCAGCCTTTGTTGACTCTCTCACAACTTCTAGATAGCTCGCTGCAGCTTTTCTGTACCTTGCATTAATAAATCTTTCTGAGACTGATTGTTGATCATCACAATCTAGCTTCTGTTGTCTTCAAATTGATTTTTGTACCTTTCTTCCTTGCCCAGCTTTCATGGAATTGAGAGAGTTAAGATTTTGCTATTGGTTGGCACATAGGTTGTAAGATTGCTACAAACTTTCAATTTATATTAAAAAAACAAAACAGCATTTTTTGAAGCTCAGTAAAACCAAGTGTACCTTTATACACTGTTATTGAGTAGACATGTTTGCCACCAGGCTTTGAGGTTTCTGTTAATCTTGTGCAGAGTTTTAAAGTTGCTAGATTGACATTGGAAAATGTTCCCTTCTGCCTATTAATTATGAGAAAATTATGGACATTAAGGGCACGGAGAAAGGATGGAATAGCTTTTTGCCTTCTTGGACTTGGGGAACAAGTAAAAGCTGTTGAACTTGTAGATGGGTGGGAAAAAAAGCTGTCCACAATTGTTAGGTGAAACACCCTCCCAAAGACAGATTGGAAGAGAAGAGCGTGTTTATTAGCGTGTATGATCTGTGTGACACAAAAGACAGAGTCTGGCTCTTATGGCATCGGTAACTAAGACAATAATACATGTGAGACCAAAAAGTGCCTTCAGTGTCCATCCCCAAATACACATCTGTAGCACCCTTGCAAGGTTCAGACAACATCGGAGGAGACTGAGTGCAGTTGTAACGCTGTGTCTGTCTTCCAGGTATGACATGGCCATGTGTGCATACATGAACTCACATTACCTCTAATTACTGGGCCCATCAAAAGATCCCAAGAAAACCCACCATTTCCTGAGGCTTTGTACAAAGCCAGTTAATGGTTGCTCAGGAAGGGAGAGGCATTTTCTTCTGTGGCATTTCATAGCCATTGGTGTATTGTCCTGTGTGCCTATAAATAACTCCCATCCATGCTCCTATAAATAACCCTTAATTAGGGTGCCCCCACTAACTAACCAACTGACTGGATAGATGGCTCAGGCTGTGATTCCAAGATGAATGCTTGGCCAGCGTGTATGAGGGCCTGGCTTCAGTCCCTACTACTGAAAGGATAATGGAATAAAGTTGTTGATAAATAAAGGAACTAGTGATGGGTCTCCAGAGCAAGGAATATACCTGAACTTTTGTGGATTGATTTCGGGCCCGTGGGCAAATTCGAGGGAGCAAGGAGCTTTTTCTTTGCTGTGTGGCTTCTCGGTTACTTTTACCTCAGCAGCATTCTCACAAGTGTTGTTTCAGAGTAGCATGTTGTGGTCTCTACTATGAGAGTAATCCAGAGGTGGACATTATGATGGATATTCTGTTTCCTCCATTGAAGAGGCAGGAAATTTTAGTGGATTTCAAAGACATTTCTGTGGTAGACTCTATGTCTTGGGGATATGCTTCCAAATACCTTTAACAAGCTCTTACAGGGTGTGCCAGACCAAATTTTGTTAGTTACATTTGCTTTTCATTCCCCAAAGGTAGTATTGGCTCTTCTTGACACTGTGCCTGGGTTGGAATCCCCCCCCCTCCCTCTCCCTCTCCCTCTCTCCTTATCCCTATCCCTCCCTAAGTCTAGGGTATTGCATTGAAGCAATGGGCTTTTTTTTTTTTTTTTTTTTAATAATCTAGGCCATCTCCAGCAGGTTACAAGCTCTCTCCCTTTTCTCTATCCCTGAAGCAGTGAGAAGGAATTGTTGAAGCATAGGCTCTGCAGTTACCTGTGTTGGGATGTTGGATTCAGCTTATCTTAGAGAAACCTTAGATGAGTTAAAACACCCAATCATTTTCTTGTGTAAACAGAAGCTAGAATTGAAGGTTAGACGGTTCTGATATTTTGTAAGCATTTAAACAGCACTGTTCACTGAGTTCCTTTGTTTGCTTTTTGCCTTTTTTGAATGGCATTGAGCATTTTTTCTGTCAATCTATCTGCCTCTTGTATGTTTGCTTCAGTACAAGTAAAACACATTCCATATCTGAAAGGCATTCTTGATCATTGACCCAGCCTGGTAGTACTTTTTTAAAACCATGAATTTAGGTGTGTATTTCTATTAGAAGGAAGCAAGAGTCTTCTGCAAGCAGTGTTTCTACCATTCCTAGCTCTCCTTTTAGGGACAAGCCTTTAATTAGAAAGTCAGTTGAAAAATTAGTAAAAGAGTGTAAGGGGTTTTTCTTATCCCAGCCAAATGAGGCTTTACAAGAAAGACAACAAATACATTTCTGTCTTTATTTTGTTTACTATAAAATGTAGAATTCATCCTCATACCCCCAAACCTTTTCTGAATATTATTTGAAGACTGCTTCTGAAGTGAGATCTCGTTTAAAAATAGATTTTATAGGAATATCAGGAGATAAGCTTTTTTCTTTTCTTTCTCCTTTATTTTGGCTCACAGATTTAGAGATTCTCATCCATAACTTAGACAAACCCATGGCTCTTAATTAAGCCTTGTGTGAATTGTATAATGAAGCAAAACATAAGCCTGATGGCTAGGACAGAAATGAGTGAAAGAAGACATATACCCACAATCCTCCAGGAGAACATGTTCCTTATGACCTAAAACTTCATAATAGACCCAGGTTCTCTTCCCACAAAACAAAATTTATTTTATTTTGTGAGTGTGGGTGTTTTGACTACATGTCTGTGTTCACCAACCATGAGCATTTTTGGTTCCCATGGAAACCAGACAGGAATCAGATCCCCAGGAACTGGAGTTAAGATGGTTGGGAGTTGCCATATGGTTGCTGGGGAATGAAATTTAGGTCCTCTGGAATACTAACCATTGCTCTCATCTCTTTGTCTTCATGAAGCCACCCCACCCCAATCCTTTCCCCATGTGTTTTTATGTCATGTATTCAGAATATTGACTTTTACAAAAACTTATGTATATGAATGCTTTGTTTACATGTGGCTGTGTGCCATGTGCATAGAGTATCCATGGACACCAGTGGGGGGGGGGCGTCCTGGAACTGTAGTTATAGTTGTGAACTGCCATGTGGGTGCTAGGAAATAAACCCATGTCTTCTGGAAGAGCAGCCAGTATTGTTAACTACTAAGGCATCTCTCCAATCCTCAGTATATAGACTTTTAAAAGTAAAAGTCAACAAACTCTGTCTTGTAACTGATGAAATCAGTGTTGTTTTTAATTGTGGCTATTGAGATGTTTGTATTGCCATTTCTATCCCTTCCATGACTTCCTGGATCAATAACAGTTTTTTGTTGTTCTTTTTTTGTTTTGTTTTGGTTTTGTAAAACATCTTTATTTTTATTCTTTATGAATATAGCTCCCATTCTCTTGAAATTTGCTGAGTGTATTTAATAATACGTAAATAATACACGAACTCTCTTCTTAACCAGTGCAGAGATGATGTATCTTAATATTTCTCTTGTAACTTACTGTTGTTTTGAAATTCATTATCTTCTTCTTAAAAGGGATATATGGTCTATTTGATCAGCTATTTTCATTTTAGGTCTCCCTTCTAAAAGAATTTTCCTTCATTGTCTTGGATAATTAAGTTTTGTTTTGCTTTGCATTTTGTTGTTTACAAATACATGTTTTATTGTTAAAATGTTTTGTTTGGGGTTTTTGTTATGGTATTTTGTTTTTTTGTAGATGTGGGTATTGAACCCATTGCTTTGTGTATGCTATAGGCAGGTGTTCACTCAGAAAGCTACACCTAATCTTTAAAATATAATTTTTGTATTTCATTTTCTCTTAATACTTCAATGATGTTCTTCTGTCTTCTGGTTTCTGCTTTTGATATTGGAAAGTTTCTTGCCAAATGAAGAGTATCAGAGTTCCATAACATTTGATTTTAATGTGCTTTTTCCTTTAGTTGCCTTCCCCCATCTTACCAGTTCAGCTCCCTCATGGCCTAGCCTTGTGGACACCACCAAGCAGTGGGACTATTATGCACGTAGAGAGAAAGACCGAGACCGAGACCGAGAGAGAGACAGGGACCGAGAGAGAGACCGAGACCGGGACAGAGAAAGAGAGCGCACCCGAGAGAGGGAGCGGGAGCGGGATCACAGTCCCACCCCCAGCGTTTTCAACAGGTTTGTCGGGTGTGAGGGTGCTGCACATTTCAGCTGTACTTTGCATTTGGATTTGGTGTCACTAGGGAAAGAATGCTCAAGACATGGTTAGAAAAAACATTTGAGATCATACTCCTTTCATTCTGGAGGACCCCATTATCATAAGCAGCAAGTTTCAAATCTGGTTGTTCATTTGCCCTAATGGAAATTTTAATCCCCCACAGATTTCTGTCTTGTCATCTAAAACTATTTTCTCTTTAAGTTTAATTACTTGATAATTCATACACATTTCTGATATATATTATATTATTTTAAAATAAAATTACCACCTTAAATATGTACCGTGAGTTAAAAATACTCCCATTTATTGACTACCATTTTCTTTTTTTTTTTTTTTTAAACATAAATAAGCTAATTTTAGCATTTGGAATTTCTTTGTGTGCACCTGAATTTCCATTGGTGTGCCATGTCTAAAGGAATTCTCAAGCACTGCTCCAGAATGCATAAGTCTGCATAAAGGGGTCCTCACTCGTATGCACAGGTCCTGATGTGAAAGGTTGTGGAAGCCAGAATATTGTGTCCCTTTGTGTGTTCTGTAGGTGTGTGTGTGTGTGTGTGTGTGTGTGGTAAAGATTTACATGTTCTACTTACATGTGAGTAAAAGGTTAATGTCAGAAAGTCCAAAGGTAGAAAAATTCTGTGTTCTAGAAACCTGTACATGAGAAGTACAAGCTATTTGTTTCTAAAGACTGACCAAAATGTTCTAAAACAAAATGTATATGGTATGTGTTGCATTACAAATTACAGGGTCATTGTTTTGAAAATGAGAGACCAGTTTTAACATCTGTTTTTAAGGCACTTTAATTATGGGCTAGGAAGAAGGCCGGGTGCTGTAGGATGTTTGAAATGTGCTCTAATGAGTTCCAGGCCAGGAGGAGCCCTTGTACCTATCAGAAAGGCGGAGGAGGTGCCGCTGTTTCCATGCAGGGACACTCGCCAGCAGTCTGTTCTTAGTAGGTTCCCATTGTGTGGCTGCCTGTGGAATCTAGAGGCCTCAGAACTAGCAAGAATTGGCTTTGGGACAAGGGCAGGGGCAAGGGAGCTACACATGACAAAATTGTAAAATAACTGGCCTTCATTCCTCCATGTAGCCTAGTTGAGTCTTTCAGAGGAACTTCATTTGTTAATGGAGTTAATTGTAATGTTCATTTGCTGCTGTGCTGCTTTGGTTTGCCTTGGAGAGAGATTATTAGAGGCCCAGTAACCTTTGTAGTGGTCTGCTTCTGAAAAAATTAGGTACTAAATTCATTGAAGAGTTACATGTATTTATTACACTGTGTTCATCCCATAGTTCCTCTTTAGAGGTCAGAGGACAACTTGTAGGCGTCATTTCAATCATTCTATAATATGGAACCTGGGGATCAAACTTAAGTTGTCAGGCTTGGCAGCAAGTGCCTTCCTGTCAGGCTCCTACTCTCACACTAAGAGCTTGATAAGTATTGTCACTTTTATAGAAACCTTGAAAAAGACTGTCAGTTAAAAATGGGAAAACAGATTTCAAGGAGTGATGTTCTAGTGTTAGAAGTGGTGAAGGCAGAATGTGCTGGGCACTGCCTGTTGTCATACACTGCCTATAAAGACATTCTTCTTAGGGAGAAAACATGAGTGTACCCATACATGTACATATACATACGTGTACATTAAAACATGTTTCTAGAAAATGTTTACAATCTTTTGTTTATTTGTTTGTTTTTCAAGGCAGGATTTCTCTGGTTTTTTTTTTTTTTTTGGAACCTGCCCTGGAACTAGCTCTCTACAGAGAGAGGCTGGCCTCGAACTCACAGAGATCTGTCTGCCTCTGCCTCCCGAGTGCCGGGACTAAAGGCATGCGCCACCAATGCCCAGCATGTTTACAATCTTAATATATCCTAGATGTTTATTTAGGCAGTAGTGTGTTCTGGCATTAAACATCATTGCTGAGCCACTTGTTTTGCTAGGTGGTCACAGGCTGGCTTGTTCTGTATACCACTTATGCTTTCCCTTCATACTATTAATCCCACTCAGATTCTTGAACATCCTGTTGCTGCATACAAACTGATAATTATTTGTATTGAACATATTTTTAAAAACTGAAGCTTTTTGGCAATATCCTAAAAGATGCTTGTTCATTCCAAATGACAGAATTTTCTGATAACTAGGTTTTAAACAATCTTGACTTCCATGTGAAATACAAAAAGGGGAAAGCCAGGCATGGTAGTTCATGTGTGTAATCTAGCATTCAGGAAGGTGAGACAAGAAGAGCTAATTCATTTGCCAACACGGGCTGCATAGTGAGAAGAAAAGAGAAAAGGGGGAAAAAAAAATGAAAAACTTAAAGGATTAGTAAAATGGAGAAAAGAATGTCAGTTAAGCGATGTAAAAGAAGGGAAAAGTCATAAAAAAACACCTGCTAACTCTGGTAATCAGTTCTGTTTGCTGAGTCTCTAATTCTATCCAAAATTAGAAAATAGAGCTTTAACATGTATTTGTGCATTTGAAATTTTTAGCCATGTGTCAGTTAGGTAGCTGGGATGTCCAGTTCATGTGTTCTATGTGGTATGCAGGCGTTGATGTCTCATTTTTCTTCATATGTATCCTTGTGTACAGAGGTGGGGGCAAGTTACACTATTTCTTCTGACACTTAGAAAAAAAATTATCTACCCGTCTTCACTGTGGAAGCCATTGTGAGACATTCATTCTTAGAATCTACCACATGGCCAGTATGTTGCAAATAAGACTTAAAAATAGATACCTGATAAATTTAATTCCATTTAATTATAAAATGGAAGCAAAATGAAATAACCTGCTGATTAAAATTTAAATCTTCAAGTGTCATTTTTTTTTCCAGAAATAAATTGTGACATTCAAATATGAAGCCTGTCATTAAAACTGAGATGGCACAGAGCAGATGTAACAACAGATGGCCATTTTTCAAAGTATGCTGTTTCCTTAAGTTAGCTGTGTTACTTGTTTTCCAATATAAGAAGTTAGTATGCAGGCCTCTGTTAGGCTTCAGAAGCTCTTCCTCTTACAGTCAGCTAAATTAATAGTCTTGATATCAGTGTTCCCTTTCCATTTTAGTGATGAAGAGCGATACAGATACAGGGAATATGCGGAAAGAGGCTATGAGCGCCATAGAGCTAGTCGGGAAAAAGAAGAACGACACAGAGAACGACGTCACAGAGAGAAAGAGGAAACCAGACACAAGTCCTCTCGCAGGTTTGCTCTATAATAGTGACTTAATAGTGACCCACCTTAGTCTGGGGGGTTTGGGGGAATAGTTACCCAGTCTGCCTTTTAGGAAGCAACAATACTTCATATAGCTAACCGATAGATAAGACTGTTTCTATCTAGAAGACCAGGAGCAGATTGTCATAGTTCCTTCCTTATGGGCATCAACAACAATTTTTAAATTCTTTTAATATCTCTCAGACAAAACAAGATATCTGGGTTTTATATTATATCTCTTTGGTAGAGGGGAATTTGGGCATATGAGACAATGTTTATAATATTAAAGTGCTATTTGGTTTAAATAAAAATCGGGCCTGCAGTTCTAAAACAAAAAATTAGAATCGATTTTAATGCTCCTTGTATTTGAAAATTGACCCTATAAAATAGCATTTCCTGTTCCTAGTTATTATGTTTCAGTTTCTAATTCACAAAGACTTTCAGACAGAGTAATGGAGTCTGGGATGGTGTGGGTGAAGATAACCCCATAACATAATCTATGTAAAATCTAATGCAAAATATGTTCATCAGAAAACAAGTGGGTTTAACGTAAATCCAGGCTTATTGATTATTTAGACCAGATTGATTGGTCACAGTTTGTCATTAAGCATTGTTAAACGCAGTTCCTTTTCCTGCAGTAACAGTCGACGTCGTCATGAGAGTGAAGAAGGGGACAGTCACAGGAGACACAAGCACAAAAAATCTAAAAGAAGCAAAGAAGGGAAAGAGGCTGGCAGTGAGCCCGTCCCTGAACAGGAGAGTGCTGAAGCTGCCCCTGCCGAGTAGGCTCCGCCTTCTTTGTCTGTCAGTCCCAGAAATAGATGCTATAAATCTTCTTATTTTTCTGGATAATGTTGAAGAAATATACCCTTAATCTTGTTCTGTTAGAATGAAACGTTAACTTTTTCTTTTCCAAAATAAAAATGTGCATTTTTCTGTGTTAAGTTAAAAAATCTTTGTCTTGTAATATTTAAAGAATAAAAGACAGAAATGACTTTATATCCAAGAAAGTAATGTGAATGAGTCAGCAGGGGATTTAGAGAAGCTTGGCTATGTGTAAACAGTATGATGAAAGTCAAGGACTCACATTGGCCAGCTTTCTGGTTATTCAGATACTGTTGCAAAAGAGGTGCTGCAAAGACCCCCTGCAGCGAAGCTGCTCTTCACCTTACTATAGTCTCCTGCATTTTCAAGAACATGGACACTTCCTTGGCATCACTGCCTTTCTAGCAGGGTTTCACTGTTCTGAAATTGGGTCCGTGGTAACTAAAAGGGCCATTTTTATAACTAAATTCATAGAAGGTAGGAGGCATTTGGGTGGCCCTGTGATGTAACTGTGTACTTTCTAACAGGCACATGTGTAGATCCAGTTGTGACTAGCACAGCGCTGTACCATTCCATGGCCATCTGTTTGAGCTAGGGTCAAGGCTGTTTGGCTGCTGTTAACATGTTTTCCAAGGCTCATTGGTAGAGTACAATGTAGGTTGTTTTTTTTTAATACCATTACCATATTAAGGATAAAAATAAACTCAATGACAGTAGTGTTAGGTCCGTTATTTCTTAGTAAAGCAAAAAAAATCCAAGCTTAAAATATGGACTTAGTCCAGGAGGGAATACAGAACAGCAGTGTTTAGTGGCTAGGAACATGGTGTATGAAAGAATGACTTAGAGCCACAGGTAAGAGGATGGCTAGCATTTAGAAAAGATTTATTTCTCATTTTAAATTCTCTACTATTAAATTTAAATCCCTGTAATATGCTCCTCCCTGAACTCCACATATACCATATAGATTTTTATGGGATTTTTATTGAATAGAAAAATATAAACTTAAAAGTTTGGAGTGATGAGGAATCCTCCACACCAAATAAAAACTTACCGGTTTTTATTTTTGAAAACATTCTGAGGTGTCACTTGTTTTCACAATATCATACTTTTCTGGTATTTTTTACAATATAATCTTTAAATATAAAAATTGACAAGATAAATACAGTTTTACCTAGCCTGTGATCTTTTTTCTGTTTTCTAAGATCCATTGTTGGTTTTATAAAAATGTACCAGGCCAAGAAGCAATAGTGAGAGTAATTCTCCCTTTAAGTTCTTTGAGCATCCTTGCCAAGCAGGCGTGTATCATGCCAGACGTACTCCTCCCATTGACAGCGAGAAGAATGTCACCACATCTAAGAAAAACAGGATTGGCATCACAATTACTTGGTGGGCTTAGGTGGTAGTAGTGTTTGCCATATTTGTCCAATTTAACTCTAATTAGATTTTTTTCCCTCTTCACTTAAATTCTCCAAGCTCCATTCATCTTGCAGAAGATATAATAATATAGGAAATTGCAATATGGGACCAAGGCCAGTGTTTGTTTTTTGTTTTTATTTGGTGTGGGGGGGTGAAGGGTGTCTCTGTGTAACAGCCTAGGCTGTCCTAGAACTTGCTTTGTAGACCAGGCTGGCCTCAAATTCACAGAGATCTATCTACCTGCCTCTGCTTCCTGAGTGCTAGGATTAAAGGCATGCACCACCACCGCCCAGCTTAAGTTTGAATTTCTTAAACTTAACTAGCACACTCATGTTTTAATTTCTCACTCTTCAAGAATGTAAATATATGCTTTCTTTCAAGTGGGGCCAAGTTTTTACATGTAGAAAACAAAATACTTGAATATTATTTTACCTAATTCTTCCATCATTGTATGCTGGCGTTCCTTCCACAATGGATTTTATAAAAAAAGGTTTGTTCCCAGTGTATTCTTCATAACCTCCTACAATGCAGAAGCCCAGACTTCCCGAGGTGTTCCTCCGTAGTGTCACATCTTTACAGTTACAGAAGTACCTGAAATAGAATATAATTAGTGTATGTACAGTTGAGTTCACTAATTGTGACTTCATCCCTCATTCATATTTTTGGACATTTTAAAAAAAGTAAAATAATACATGCATATGTCTGCCTCAGAAAGGACAGTAACTTTTCATGCTCTTAGCAGCTTTTGTGTTTGATCTCTTCCACAGCTAAATACCCTACCCTTCCAACAAAAGGATTTCATTATTGTGCTCTGTTTGTCTCTGCTGAAAAAGATGACTATGGTTTGGCTAAGGACAACGTAATGCATGGACATATGGACCAAACATTGGATATGCCTCATACTTCTAATGATAAGCCAAAGTGGAGACTACTGAGGGAATATAATTTTTATATATTTGTGAGTTTACATAATTCTTAAAGAAGGCAAACTTTCTTTGAATAAGTGATTCACAATGAAATAATCATGATGAAAATAACTTTAACTTAAGCTAATGAACTTCATTAAGTGTAGAATTACTATTGACCCTTGAAAAATACTGGTGTATACTCACAGAAACAAAGAAGACTGTAGACATAAGATGAATGGGAAGTGGATCAAAAAAGAGTAGAAGAGTTGTAGGAATAAAGTCAACATGGCATAACCTGACTGGAGAGTTCAAAAGGAACTGGAGAAGGAAAGACCATAGCGGGCATAAGAATGAGTAGAATCCTCAATAGGGTAGTTGTGATTGTTAGAGCCAAGTGCAAACTGCTGTAGTGCAGTAGGAAAGGGTGTCAGGAGCTGGAGTTGGCTCTGGGATCCCTTGTCTACCATGTGTGTCTATGGTCTAGGAACTGCTTTGACTGGAAGATAGCATTTTTATGTTGGTAGAAATGAAGATGTTTTGTTTATAGACTGTACCTTAAAATAATCAACTGCTTTTTGATAATCAATAAAAATGATCTTGTGAAATGTTAAGCAATGGAGTTTGGTCTTTATACTGGTTGCTGGTCTTTCTCACCATTTAACAACTATGATGGCTATTCTTGGTTTCAACTTGACTACATCTGGAAGAAACTCAAGTGGTTGGGCATACCTGTGGGGAACTTTTTTTTATCTTAATTAAATAATTTGATGTGGGAAGACCCACTTTTTTGTTTATTGTGAGATGAGGTTTCTCTATTTAACAGCCCTGGATGTCCTGGAACTCAACTCTGTAGACCTGCCTGCCTTTGCCTTCCAAGTGCTGTGATTAAGGGGGTGTGCCACCACCATCAGGCATGGGAAGACCTCTTTTAATCCAGATCTTTTCAGGTGAGAAGATGGATCTTTAATCTGGGCCACACTTCTGCTGGCTGCCTGTGTAAAGGACATGGAAGAAGAAAGCTTGCTCTCTTTGCCCATTTGCTCTTGCTCTCACCAGCAAGTCCATTCCGGTGAGACATTAGAGCCTAAGTCTTTGGGATTCTAGCCTACACTGAGATATCCAGCCTGAGGAACTGAACAGCTACTGGCTTCTTGGACCTTCTGTTTGTAGACAGCTTTTGTTGGACTAGCTGGACCATATTCTATAAGCCGTTCTAATAAGTCCCATATATATTCATATTCATTCAGTTCTGTTCCTCTAGGGAACCCTGACTAATACAAATTCTTTTCATGTTGTTGCTTTCATCTGAAATAAAACAAGTCCATTTTTGTTTTGTATGCATTGGCATCATGTACAACATTTTCTTACACTGAAATAATAAGAAAAGATAAATGAATTTTATTTAGTGAAAACTCATTTTTACTGTTAAGTACTTGTCTTATTTGCCAGTAAACCTCCTTTCAGCAGCACATGCATCCTGTAGGAGCAGAAGTCTCCTGGATATCACACTGTTAAGTTCCATTTTGGCTACTTGGGAAAAGCATCACATATTCCCCACCTTGGTGGGCAGTGGTTCTCAACCTTCCTAAAGCTGCAACTCTTTTAATACAGTTCCTCATGTTGTGGTGACCCTCCCCACAGCCATGAAATCATTTTTGTTGCTACTTTATAACTGTAATTTTGCTACTATTGTGAATTGTAATGTAAGTATTTTTTAACATAGAGGTTTGTCCTGGGGGTCATGACTATGAGTTGAGAACCACTTGTTGGTGGATATGTGCCTAGTTTTTTGGTAGAAAAGTGTAATTAGATGATTCCTATCCAGCAGTGTGATTAAATCTACCAGTGACAACTCTTTAAAACATAAGTAGGCAGAAGAGCAGTCGCTGAAACTAAGCCATCTCATTCTTTGGACAATTGTTAGGTTTGGACAATTGTTTATTTTTTCAGTAAGTATTTCTGTGGGCCTTATTTGACTGTTCAGATAGTTTATGGTGATCATCTATAAACACAACTAGCTAAACTATTAATGTTTTCAACTTAATATTAAATTACAAATGTGTCTGTTTTCCTAGACTCTTCATAGTGGAGAAGGCATCAGCTTTGGGGTCAGCTTTTAGAATGTATATACCATGCCAACATTGGGGAATATAAGTGACTATGCACAACCCTTTTCCTCCTGTAGCATCCATTCAAAAGGTACTCATGTGCTACCCTTTTATTTGCCTTTCACTGTGTTGATTATTTGCCTTTTTGTAACAGCAAGATCTCAGTATGTTAAACCCCCATTCATAGTCAGGCTGATAGTTGGAACTGGTGCACCCCCCCTTTTTTTCCCCCTCTTTGCATTACTTCATTCCCTACTGGGAAATTTGGCAGCTGGTTTTGATCAGTGACCTTTGAGATTAAGTGACTTTACCCTCTGGATAGAAGTGTGAGTTTTTTTCCTACTCTGAGCTCATTCTCTCAATTTAGGCTTAATTGAGAAAGATTTGGCATAAGGAATGGCAAGGGCTTTGGTCATTTTTCCCAGTTTGGTTATGATTAGGCTTACAGAGAAATTTAGCTTCAGTGAGTGAATTGAGTATGAGAAGTCTTGAGCTGCTCAGACTTGGAGCTAGAGAGGACACAAGTTCACTTCCCAGCACCTACGTGATAGCTCACAAATGTCTGTAACTTCAGTTCCAGGGGATCCAAATAACCCTCTTCTAACTTCCGCAGGCACCAGACATGCATGCGGCACACACATCTACATAGCAGGCTAAACATTTGTGGTTTGAAAGAATGGTCCTCAAAGGGAGTGGCACTATTAGGAGGTGTGGCCTTGTTGAAGGAAATGTGTCACTGTAAGAGTGAGCCCAGAGATTTCTTTTGCTCAAGCTTCCTTCAGTGTGACTCTAAGTCGACTTCCTGTTGCCTGCAAAATGTAGCATTCTCAGCTCCACATCTGCCTGCATGCTGCCATGATGACAATGCATGGAACCTCTGCAACTGTAAGGGTTGCCATAGTCATAGTGTCTCTTCACAGCTATAGAAAACCCTAAGACAACATTTACACAAATCTCATTATTCTTGAAATTTTCTCTAAATCTTCTGCCTATACCAATTTACTCAACAAAGCATTTGAAACACTGCTTTGCCTGGGTTTAAGTCAGAGGGATACTAAGACAAAGAAGGCACGTCCTCTTAAAAAAACAAAAAGCTTACAATGTCAACTAAGTCCATCAACCAAACTGGATTGAATTGTAAGGTTTTCCCCATGGTGTCCAAGCACCAGAGATCATGAATTACTTCGCCATACTTTGGATTATTGCATCATTTTACCCACAGAGAATTAACTGATTTTGAATACTTTGGTCTTAATTTGACCTATATCTTTTTAAAAAGATTTTAAAAAGTTTTCATCATTTTTTTTTATATTGGAATCACAAATCCAAAGCACTAGGTTTATAAATTAATGTATTCATAGAAGAAAAACAATGGCTGAGTTTGGGAAAACAATAGATGAAGCTTACCCTGTGAACAGAAAATTGACCATGTAACTAGTTTGTTCTTTTTAAAAATTGCATTAGCCCTGTCTGTTCTTATATTTTAACTTCTTGCCCCAACTTAACTTGTAAACATTACCGCTAATTTCAACCTTGGGTATAATGTAGAACTTTTTTCTGTGGCTACCTCCTAGGTCAGATAGGTTCTGTACTTTCCTTAGGGCCCCTGTGTTGACTGCTCTCCCTGCTTTTTGCTACCCGGCTACTCTATTGCATTTCAGGTCATGAACAAATTATCTCTTTAGGGGATGGATGTTCAGCCACCCAGGCAAAGAGCACATGTAATCCAGTGGGATTTTTAAAAAATCTGCTCAAATGGGACTCTTATTAAATGATTTGCTGAGCTTTAGTTATTACTTTCAGAATAATAATAGACACTTTTATCATGATATCGTCTTGTCCCCTAGATTCTGAAGTCTGTAAAAGGATTTTCCCAGCACATAAGGGACTCATTATTTCATTAGCAAATGGTTACTCAACAGCAGTTCCAGACCTTCAGAAACATGAGACATGTTTTTCTTTTGAAAGGTCCACCCTTATGGTAAACATTAAAATGCATCATTTTACATGTTAACTATAGTAGGTTTGGGGGCAAATGTTCAATGTATCTTTAAAAATAACTTTGCTCTTGAATTTTGCTTTTGACTAATGGGACTTCACAGTCACACAAGGAAGGTGGTAAGGAAAATTACTAGAAAGTGTAGCCTACCTAAGGGGCAAGCAACAGTGAAAGCTATTTGTACTATCCTGTGTGGGAATGTTATGTGAACTCCTCTAGAAAACTTGCTCTATGGTAGAAACAAAAAGACATAAAGTACTAAAGCTAAATATAGGATTAGCGTTCTCAGGGATGCTTCCAACTTAAAATGCATCGTGATTAAAATAATAGACTAAGTCAAGAATGGCAGGCTCAGCTGGTGGCTCTGCCATGCAGCCTGAGCATGTCATCTGACTGCTTTGAGCCTTCATTTCCTACTGAGTCACACAGCCTGCGATTCTCAAGAGAGTGAAGTGTGCAGAGAGTGTGTGAAGCTCTGGGAAGGGACCCTGACTCTTGTTCAGGGCTCATAAGCATTAGTTACTTCAGGGCTACTGTTAGACTGCCTGGCTTAGCCGTACCAGCACAGTGGACCTATCTCATGATGAAAGCTAGGAAAAAAAAAAAAAAAAAAAAAAAAAAAACACTGGTGCCTGTTTCCTTACCATTGAATATTGGCAATCCCGAATAAAATATGTTAGGTGCTTCAGGAGAGGAAAGGGTTAAATTCTTAGGCAAGAAGAGAAGTGAGTTAATGCATATTTCTATCCCGCTGGTCCAGATGAGAGCATGCCTTGAAAGACTTCCAGATGTGGAATGTGGGCCCTGAGAGCCAACAAAGTAAAATGTCATCAGTGTCATCCCAGTCTCCTGTTGAATGGCAGCTGATAATTTGTATAGCTGGCAAAATGTCTGGAACAGTGCTATCAACGAGTGCACTATTAATAACACGCTTTTATCTGCTCCTTTATCACTGACTTTTACTCTTTCCTGTTGCCCAAACCTGACACCCGCTGGTTCCACATGGCAGTGCCGGTATGGCACACCAGGGCACCCTTCGTGGCTTAGATTCTTGCCCTGTGTTGCCTGTGTCTCGAGACACAATGCTAATAGTGTGTTGATTCTAAGCCTGCTGACACACACCTCTCTTCATTGTGGGGAGGCCCTTAGGTGACTGGCAAGATCGTATATTAGGACAATTATTTTCCCCTCGAGCTTTGTTGAATGAAGGATGAAATGTATTTGTAATATTTCTGTGTATGTATTTTAGAGGCTTATTTGTAGTCTAAATATAGCAATCAGTTAAAATGAATTTTGCCAAAGTGTGGTTTGGAATTGCTTATTCTACATCACTTGCCTCTAATGGCTAGAGACATGTAAGGGGAGGAGGGGTTAGGTATCTTGAGGCTCTGAGTACTCAAGATTATGGGTGGGAGTGGATTCCCTACCCCACACCCCATGGAAACTGAAGCCATACCACTGGAGCTCACATCATGAGTACCACAGTGCCTAGGACAGGACAGAG